ATTAAGATCGAGGCGACTTTGAGACTCGAGAGAGAGGAGTCCCATTATTAACCGTAATGAAAGCACGGGCGTTTTCAATATAAGCAAGCAAATCAATAATTTGAATAGGTACAGATGAGAGAGAGACAGAGAGAGAGGAAGGGAGGGAGGGAGCGAAGAGAAGAGAAGAGAAGAGCAATGAATTGATATACTATTTACTACAAGGAATTTCAATATATTCAAGAGAAGGGTGCAAAAGAAGAGGGCACAAGTTCACGAGGAATCAATAAAGGTTTAAAGGGATTCCAATTCATCCGATGGAGGAAGATATAGATCTATCTTGACTTACCTAGCTAGCTACTACTATCTAAACCTTCCTTGATACTCGAACCTTTAATTTGAAGCCTTTAATAAGGTATGGAGTATGGAATATGGATATGGATATGGATATGGATATGGATATGGAATACTACACTAGAGATACTATCGATGCACATTATCATACATGATCACACATTATCACATACATCACCCTAAAAATAATTCTTTCTTTTTCTTTCTTTCACCATTTCCATGGGAGAAAGACCACCGACCACCGACCTCCAGTATCGCACACATATCGTATATCCATACCACATCCATACCTACTATCCCCATACCACACTTCAGACTCCCTTCGTACTATATAATATAACTCGGCGATTAAAATTCATCATCCATCACTCTCTGTTGGAAAGCATTCAAAGGTATCGTGAGCAAAGCTGGATACAATAGATTCTCACCAAAAGAAAAAGAAAGAGAACAGGAAAAGGAAAGAAAAGGGGGAAAGGAGAATCATAGGTATAACAAGAGGAAATACAATTTCCCATCATCATAATAATAACAATAATAATAATGCTTCCAAAGTATCCCTCCCAAATTTGATTTCGATCCAATCCAATCCAATCCAATCCGATTCAATTCAATTCCATTCGACTCGACTCGACTCAACTCAACCCAACCCAACTCAACTCAACTCAATTCATCTCAATCCAATTCTATTTCCAAGTCAAGCAGAAAGCGCTTGGATGGATTAGATAAAGCACCTAGTGAGACCCGCGACAACGGCCACCAACCTACCTTTCGAGCCTTTGGTCCTTTCTTCTGCTTCCATACCATCCTCGACCACACACACACACACACACCATTCTCTCGAACTCTTATAATCTAAAATTTTCTATCAAAAAAAAAAATACAAAAAAAGAGGATCACCCATTCACAACAAACCACGCAAACCACGCACACAACAAGAGGGTAACTCTTTTGCCATCCATCATCAACAACTCACACACTCTCGCTCTCACCATCACTCTCGTATTCTCACGATCCCTCATCTCCTCTCCTCTCCTCTCCTCTCCTCTCCTCCATCAATCAATCATTCAAGAGTAATCCAACCTCTCTTGCTTCATTTTCCATCCTATACTATATCTACCGACCTAAAACACTTTCTCCGACGTTGGTACATTAATTTGGATTATCAATGACGATTCAGTGATTATTGTCTGTTCGTCTGTCTCACTTCTGGCTTGCGACATCTTTCCTCTTCCTTTTTTAAGATTCCAGCTTAGTCTCAAATTTCAAATCAGTCATCCATCGTACCCTACCTCAACAAAAGAGTCCCAAGAAGAATCTCAAAGACTTGCATTTGAAATCCGCAAGCATTCTAGTCCATCTCACCACGATCCATCAATTCATCAAATTACATTGTTGGTAATACGATCACTTCTCTTCCCCCCTAAATATAATTCCCATCTTTGTGGCAGGCTCGCCTCCGAAACACTTCGATCGATAAAAATCATCCTCTCTTCGTCAACCGCCATCTGCGGATCAAACTTCCATCATGAGGGAAGTCAACTTCAGCATCCCCAATGTCAATAAGGCTTCGGTCGGTATCACGACAGCGTTGTACGATCGTCGAGCCCTTGATTGTACTTCGACACTACCTTTGATCAATTCGCTCAATCACCTTGCTTATCTCACCACTTCATCCGCTAGAATTAGAGATATCCTGACGGTCGATGGAGGTGTCGAAAGATTAGTATGCCTTTTGAAGGCTGGGCGGAGCAAAGATATGATGGACATGTGGAAATGGAATTTGGCATTTCAATGCGTCGTCAACATTGGTGTGCGAGGTTCGGAAAACGTTCGAACCAGGGTCGTTGAAGCAGATATGGTTCCCGTCATCGCAACAATTCTCGACAATTACATCAAAGTGGTTGATAGATGCAGAGAGAAAGCCGAAGAAGCCAAGCAGAAAGCTATGTTGGAACATAGACATCAAAATGGGAGATCAGGGGAACATCGAAGTACACACAAGGGGCCTTCATTTGGCAATCGAGCATCGCGATTTGAGTCCGAGTTTCGAGCATCAAGACGTCAACCTCCTCCACCTTCTATCGACATCCCCTCGAATCTTTCGGGTACCGCATTGACGAATGGATCAGATGCCATGGATATTACACCAACGGGGCCTCAATTCGCTCTCACATCTCCTCCAGAGCGAACTACATTCTCTGTTCACAGACATCATCACCACCATAGAAATCAGGATGCAAGACAGCATTTCTTGTCACCACGCCATAACATTCAACCACTTGCGACTGCAGTTCCTTCGATGGACGCAGCTGATGGATTTAACATCAGACCTGTGCGAGATGTTGACCGTTTACCATCAATGCTACCAGGATTTCAAGGCGGCCTAGCATCTCAACCCGAATCACCAACAACTCCTCTACCTCCTGCACAAATGCGATCACCTACTGTTCGAGCGACATCAATGTCTGTTGGCACACCTCGATCACGAAGACGTCCATCTATCAGACATCAAGTTTCATCCGCTGCAGACACAGAAGATATGAATGCTGATAGCATGGCATCTGATGAATCCGGGGAACCAGAAATTACCGGCGTAAGCACAGCGGAAATTCAAGCTACCAATGTCAATATTCAAGATGTCAACATGGATGAAAACGATTCAATGCTCACAGCTGTTGAAACACCCCTTGGTCTTACCACTCCAACCGTTTCCGAAGCACAGGATGCCGGGACATTCAATATCACTCACCGATCTGCCATGGACGGTAGCATGATTAACGATGCCACAACCCCAACGGGACCAACAATTGGTCTTTCACCAGCTCAACCTACAACTGTTA